GATAATTTCCCTAGAGTGTCGGGATATTTTTCTTAGGGTGCGGGGAATTTTACACCCCAGAGGAGGGTATGAGGGAATTAATTACTGATGTACCTTTGGCAGGAAAAATAAACTGAATTACTGCTGGAACGTCCTCAGCCAGTGGAGTGAGCAGGACCTCCGCCTGAACATAATTTCATTTGTAATTTGGCGATCGGAGATTTTGAGTTTATTTTATATTCTTCGGACACACACACACACACACACACACACACACACACACACACACACACACACACACACACACACACACACACACACACTCACACTCACAAATACACTCACACTCACAAATACACTCACACTACTACTACTACTTTGCTGTCACTCGGAAACGAGTATGACGATCATCCAGCTATAATACAATGATATGAGTTACTAAGGATGTCACCTGGGTTGGTGAGTTCTGAGGTAATTGTAGAGGCCGATTCGGGACCGGCATGGTCACCCACATTCGTTGCAAATGTGGAGGGCTACATCTAGTGAGGGAGGGGTGGTGGCAGCGTTTTTCCGGTGTTGGCGCTTGTTTGCCTCGGTTTTCAGTCGGGCTAACTCGAAAGTATTGATACCTTCTCGTGTGGAGCTCCTCCAAGCGTTACGGTGTGGAGTAATCGACTCCCAGGTGAGGGGGTCGATTTGGTACTTTTTCAGGTTTGTCTTAAGACTATCCTTATACCTTTTCAGTTGCCAGCCGGCGTTACGTTTACTATTCGTTAGGTGACAGCAAAGTAGCTGCTTTGGCAGTCTACTGTCGTCCATGCGGGTAACATGGCCAGTCCAACGTAGCTGTTCATGGACAATGGGAGCCTCGATGCTCCTACAGTTGGTGTCAGCAAGAATACTGGCATTTATTCTCTTGTCTTCCTAGCAAACTCGGAGGATGGAACGTAGACTACGTTGGTGAAAGTTTTCAAGTGCCTTGAGGTGCCTCCTGTATGTGACCCATGTCTCACTGCACACACACACACACACACACACACACACACACACACACACACACACACACACAGGAAGGGAAAGAGAGATGAGACATGCACGAACAGAAAAGACAAACAAGACCTCTGAGGCTTTCGTCTAAATTTCAAGACTCTTCTTTTTCTCTGAGGTGCACAGAAATTTTACCTCCCCAGTCTGGTTCTGGATTTACAATATAAACGAGTATTATATATCCTCGAGTATAATGTTAAGGTTATATTTCAAGGCTTATAATATACAGTAGAAGGTAGATATTGAACACGGTCTTATATGTAAATGTTCAAAGGCTGTATTTTTTCCTGTAGTTCTTAAAGTTTAATAGAAATGACGAAAAGTTCAACAAATATATTTTTTTAGTAAATTTTAGTAGGAATTCAACGTTATTTAGCTATTCAGTAGATTATGTAGATGTCCAACACGTATTTAGTAGTTAATAATATCGAAGTTTTAACAAAAAATATTCAAAATAAACCAGAAAACAACTACATATTGAACTGACCTGAAAAATCTAGGAGTTTCGTCTGAAATAAACGAAGATAAACTGCATGTGTTAAGGCCCCTTGAAGACCCGTTTCATATTTTACGATACAAACTTGACTGGCACTAAAAATTCCTCGTATTACCTCAACCAAGAAAATTCTGATAACAGTCATGCTGGGCCGAGTTGAGGTCAAACACTAATGAAAATTATTTATTCATTTGTGATGTAAAATATTCAGGATTATTGAAGTTATGATAAATATTGTAATTATTGTATGTGTGTTGTAATGATGTGATAATTACTTTGTTTCTTACTGAGATCATCATGTAGTTTAAACACACTAGTAATATTATATGTATCTTATTATGTATGTATTTATGTTAAAAAGCAACTGAAGTTAGGTTAGGTTAGGTTAGGTTAGGTTAGGTTAGGTTAGGTTAGGTTTTATGAACAGTCAGAAGTTTCCACAGATATACCATCTTTTTTTTCTGTGGTGGTTTAGGGTGACTAGATAAGTGTTGTCTTGTCTTGGTATTAGTTGTCGAGTTTCTCTTCCTCCTTCTGCCTCCTTCTGCCTCCTCCTCCACCTCTTCCTCCTCCCTCCTCCCACTGTAATATTTATCTCCTCCACCTCTTTCTCCACTGTATCACCTTCCTCTCCTCCTCCTCCCTCCTCCTCCTCCTCCTTCTCTTCCCCCTTCATGGGTCCTTCTCTTCCTCCTCTCCTCCTCATCTCTCTTCCTCTCCTCCTCCTCCTCTTCGTCTTCCTCCTCCTCCTCCTCCTCCTCTTTCCTCTCCTCCTTCTCCTCCTCTTCGTCTTCCTCCTCCTCCTCTCCTCCTCCTTCTCTTCCCCACTTCATATGGGTCCCTTCCTCTTCCTCTCCTCCTCCTCCTCTTCCTCTCCTCCTCCTCCTCTTCGCCTTCCTCCTCCCCGCTTCACCTTAGCCACGTGTATCCTGGGGGAAACTCTTCAACTCCATAGTAAAAAAAATCATATTCCATTTCCCACATTAATTTACGCCATGGTATATTTTACATGTTCAGAAGAAAAGTGGTTTAATTTGTGTGAGGAGGAAGTTGTGGTTTAAGGCTAATTGGTCTCGTTTTGGTTTAACGGATTGGACTTGGTTTAACGGATTGGGTCTTGGTTTAACGGATTGGGTGTTGGTTTAACGGATTGGACTTGGTTTAACGGGTTGGACGCTAACTTAACCCGGACTAATTCTCTGTACTCAAAAAGTTAAATCATCGTATTCAAAATATTACACTAACTTAACCCGGACAAATTCTCTGTACTCAAAAAGTTAAATCATCGTACTCAAAGGGGTTAAATCATCGTACTCAAGGGGTTAATTAACATAATACCTGATATAATTTTTTTTTCTACCTGCTGTACGAAACTGCATACAATGACCATTAATTTCACCCATCATTTATCATAATTTACAAAGTCATCCCCCAGTGGCAGGGTATTGATTTCGTACGTGACCTTAGGGAATAAAGTTTTGCAGAGAAGCTTCAGTAATGCTATTGATTCGTTCAGATAATAGCGAGACTTCAAATAGTTATCTTTAAAATTATTGGGAGAGTTTGTCATATTGTTAAATTTTATATAATTATTGAGTAGCTGTCATTTGAGAGAGAGAGAAAGAATTTGGGTTACTCTTATACGAATAAAAAATGCATAGATAAATAACAAAATAAAAAACAACAACAATAATATAAACTGATAATACTCCACGTAAGCTTGATAATACTTTACGTAAGCTTGATAATACTCCACATAAGCTTGATAATACTCCACGTAAGCTTGATAATACTCCACGTAAGCTTGATAATACTCCACGTAAGCTTGGTAATACTCCACATAAGCTTGATAATACTCCACGTACGCTTGATAATACTCCACGTAAGCTTTATAATACTCCACATAAGCTTGATTATACTTACGGTGGGGCTACATAGTCACTACGCATTCTTGGGGCGGGGGGGCAGGGAGAGGAGATCAAGGAGAGGGAGGCAGGGAGAGGAGAACAAGAACAAGGGAGGCAGGGAGAAGAGAACAAGAACAAGGGAGGCAGGGAGAGGAGAACAAGAACAAGGGAGGCAGGGAGAGGAGAACAAGAACAAGGGAGGCAGGGAGAAGAGAACAAGAACAAGGGAGGCAGGGAGAGGAGAACAAGAATAAGGGAATCAGGGAGAAGAGAACAAGAACAAGGGAGGCAGGGAGAAGAGAACAAGAACAAGGGAGGCAGGGAGAGGAGAAAAAGAACAAGGGAGGTAGGGAGAGGAGAGGGAAGCAGGGAGAGGAGAACACGGAGGAAGTGGGAGTGGCTAATGTGATCGACAATAAGCATTACAGATTGTTTGTATTTAAAGCAACGTTAAATAATGTTGAGTAAAAATTATGTGATTGGTTTGGTAAGTTTGTTTATTATTCAGTATAAATTGATGAGTGTTATTGTGGAAAGGTGAGGTGAGGTGATATAGGAGGTGAATTTATATTAAGGCATTTATATAATATACACGTTATTAATATTATTATTATTATTATTATTATTATTATTATTATTATTATTATCACTTGCCTCTATATCTTGCCACACAGTTACGACACAAGGAGTGGGCCGTTCACGGAGGGAGTGAGGTGGTCTGATGAGGACTACCTGGGGTCTCGAGCCTTCTTCAGGATCATGTCTGACCCGCCCACCCTAGTGCTGGAGGACGTAAAGGTGGTTGACCAGGCCGTGTACACCTGCAGGGTCGACTACAAGGTCAGACCCTCGGCCATCACCAAGGTCAACCTCACCGTCATTGGTAAGTGAATTGTTGACCTTATTGTCACAGGTGTGTTGATTAGCTTCGAGGTTAATGTCTCTGTGAAAAGATAAATGCATTGTTGACCACGTGGTTAAGGTTTGTGATTAATGTATGGGTTAGTCTCTGTCTTGCTGACCTTGTTGCTTGGATGTGTTGACTAATTTAAAGGTCAATGTTTCTGTCAATGATAAATGCGTTATTGACCTTAAGGTTCAGGTGTGATAATAATAATTAGCGGTTTATTGAAAGAACATGACAGTCAGATGGCTGAAAATATACAGTCAACAGAGATGATGAAAGTTACATAATTGGGGAATGAGTTACTTGATGAACATATAATATACAAGCAACATAAATGATACAAATATGATATACAATAACAAGGTGGGGATAAGGTCAAACTACACGGCATTTCAGCATAGTGACAATACAAAAGTAAGATTGGCAGGCGGTGAACACACTGGTTGATTACGAGTTGTTGATATTTTTATAATAGTTGGGACTGGGCTGTTCTTATAGCGATCAGTACGTGCTCATATGGGCTGGATGCGGTTGTGGTGTCTAACAGCAATTCGCGGACGAGGGATCCCAGGTGGTAGTAGGAGCCGGTGTCGAGGAGGATGCAGAAACTTCTCCCGAAACTTGCAGATGAGGTCATGGTGATGATCAGACAGAGCCGAGGGGGTCAGTGTGATGACACATATGAGGTCTTCCAGTCAGCTGGGCATCTTGCTTGACTGAGGGAAGCATTGATGATGGAGCAGAGGGATTTAGCTAGTTCCGGGTAGAACTCCTTTTAGAGTTTCACTGGAAGATCAATGGGAGTGGAGGAGCAGGAGAGGGGTCTGGCAGAGAGACTGGTCGCGTCAAGCTGGGGGAGCGTCTGGTACATAATTGTGAAGTGGTTGTTAGTTTGCTCAGCTGCGTCACCATTAATCTCTGGCAAGAAGTGGTGGTGAGCTCCCGTCAAGTGGTCAAGGTCAGTTGTACTAAATTTGGTGAGTGCCTCCTTGTCCACTCGTGTCATCAGTGTCTTAACTCTCTCGACGGCCAATCTAACCACTATTACACTTCACTGTATTTGTTCAGGCAAGTCATTACGTAGTGTGAGCACGTCCTTGGTGAGCCCCATCATCACCATCATCACCATCATCACCATCATCATCACCATCATCATCATCGATTGCTACTAGACCTGAGGCAGTATTCATCTTCATTTAAGTGACAGCGAACATGCACAACCAGATGAGGTGAATAAATTCTCTTTGTCGACGGGAGTGCTTGGCGTTCTTGACACATTTCAATTCTGACAGAAAATTGAATACAAAAAGAGTCGGAGAGACAGGTTCATTATATTCTTAGAGGATTTTTTTTTCTTTATGCTTTTACTATTACCGGTTTGTTAGTATTTCCGTGTTGACAATAACTTTTACACACACAAACACACACACAGATTGAGATACACACAGGCAAACAAAGCAGTAATACTCTCAACTGATCGTAAAACAAAAAAGAGAAAAGATAGAAAAAAAAAAAAAAAAAAAAAAAAAAAAAAATTAAAAAAAAAACTAAAACCAGATTATAAACCCAAAAGACCATTGTTATTTTCCTGTTTTCCTTGAGACCAACACAGAGGGGAAAAAAAAACACTAGGAAAACCAAGAAATTTACATCCTATAAAAGAAAGATTTATGATTCATGGATACAAATGGCGAATGTGAGTTTATATTGAGAATTCCCGTGACGGTGGTAGACTGAGTGGGAAGGGGAGTGGGGGAAACTTTCAGGAGCTGTGGTGTGTGTAAACAAGAGATACAGTGGATCTCTCCTTCATCACGAGGCAGACATAAACACCTTAGTCACGTGTTTAAGCTAAAAGATAAAACACAGCTAAACAAATACTATAGGCTATACCTCACGAGCCTAAGGGAAAGGTGAAAAAAAAAGGTGTTATACAGGAAATAGGTAACGTCACGGTCTGGGTAAACTTCGGTACGGAAGAGGAAATGGAGCGTGGTGGTGAGGGTGGTGATGGTGGTGGTGGTGAATGTAACCTGGGTGGTTGTTATTCAGTTGGGGTTGAGGACTAATTTTTTACCTTGTCTTTATACCTCTCTCTCTCTCTCTCTCTCTCTCTCTCTCTCTCTCTCTCTCTCTCTCTCTCTCTCTCTCTCTCTCTCTCTCTCTCTCTCTCTCTCTCTCTCTTTCTCTCTGTTTACTCTCCTCCCCCGTCCACGATTCCCTCATACCTCCATCGCAGGGCTTGTGGTCACAGGAGCTCTAGCCAATACTTCACGAGTAGCCTCTCAAACGTGTCCCCCCCAGACCAACACCAATTTTCGCCGTCGGAGTCTCACACAGGTACAGCAGATGAGCTACACAGGAGAGGGGAACAAGTATGATGAAACGAGAGGAAGATGATAGCGTCTAGGTACATAGGTATGGTAAGAGATGATTTGCTGTGCTTTTGTGCTGTAGGTTTAGGAAGTCAGAGAGTTTTTTTTTAGGATAAGAGTAGTGGATGACTGTGGCAAGGAAAGTGGAAAGTGCTTGATTTGTGTTTGTGTGTGTGTGTGTGTGTGTGTGTGTGTGTGTGTGTGTGTGTGTGCGTTATAGTAGAAGCCTTCTGTATGTTATAGAGAATATACCAAATAAATAACTGATAAAGATTCAGAGTTTATTGAAAGCAAAATATGAGACAAAAAAATAAACTAAAAAATCCTCAGTTGTTTCCTGTCCTCCTGCTTGTAAACTCCCACCTGTTAGAACTTCTTTTTCCCACCTAAATTGAGATAGAATATTAACACAACGAGTCCTGTCTCTTGTTTACTGTACAGGTAGAGGGGATGGCTTCTAATAAACACGATATGAAGGTGAAACAAGGGTTATACACACAGGGAGGTAGAGGTATAACTGTGTAAAAGATAGTGGGACGTTTTTCTCTGTTGATTTACACGCTACTCTTGAACTAACAAAAGTATGTTAAGTTTATTATCTAATATCCTCTTGTTAACTGATTGACGTGTGAGTTACGCTAATGGTATAATGTCTATGTTAACTGAATAACATCTGACCCAAGTTACGTGTTTGATACCGAAACTCAATTCATGATATGTGTAAGTTTCATTAATAGTTTGACACCTGAGTGAAATATAATGCCATTTGATCCGAGTTAAGTTAATTAGTTAACATCTGATTTAGTTGATTGATATTTTAAAAGGGATAGTCAACACACATAAACAAAGCCACTATAACGAAACAATAAATGAAACCCTACAACTCATTTCGAAACACAGTGGAACAATTACGAATCAATGAACCAAAGCACACATCCTATAACGAGACACTAAACCAGCCTATATAGTTCTAAAACACGATAGAGAGTTATATATATACAGCAGTGACAATGAACCAAACCGCGAGATTAGTCTCAAAACATTAAGAGACAGATAAGAGATAATGAACGAGACCACACAGTTTGTTCCGAGACACAATAGCCTGATAATGAGACAATGAACGAAGTCTCAAATTAATCTCAAAACAATAGACACGTATAATGAGACAATCAAACAATCCCTAAAGTTAATCTTCAAAGGCAAGTAGGAAGTGAAAGACGAGAGAGGTGCAGAGAGAGGAAGGAGTGGAAAGAGGGAGGGAGGGAGAGAGGGAGGGAGGGAGAGAGGGAGAGAAAGATAGAGGAAGTTAGGAAAGGTCGGAGAGGTAGAGGGAAGAAGGAAGTGAAGGAAGGGATGAAAAGGGGAGGACAGAGAGGAACGAAGAAAGAAAAGAGGGAATGAAGGAATGAAGGATGGAGGGAAAGAGAGAAAACGAAAGAAAGATGAAGTGAGGAAGGATCGGAGGGACTGAAAGAAAAAATTAACTAAAGAGGGAGGGAAGGTCAGAGAAACGAAGAGATAGAAGGAACATTAGAAGAAAAGAGGGAATGAGAAAAAATCAGAGAAAGGAAGAATAGAGGAAAGTAGGAAAAACACCACCACCTTATAGCAGATGAACCCAAAAAAAAAATTACGAGCGAGCCAAAAACAAGAGGCCTTAAAACGAAATGAACAACACGGTGGAAACGGGACTTGAGAAAAGCAGTAAAGAAGAAATAATGTGGTATATAGCTGCAGGTACAACAGGTGGTGGTGGTAGAGAGTAAAGAGGGACACCAAGTTACCCCCCAGAGAGAAAAATCCCTGAAAATGGAGAGGAAGGGTGGGGAATTTTGTCTCGTCTAGGGAATTATTTTATTGTAATTTTATCAGTGGCAGTGAGGATGTTATTCATATCGATAATACTAATAATAATACATACATACATACATACATACATACATACATACATACATACATACATACATACATACATACATACATACTGTACATACATACATACATACATACATACATACATACATACATACATACATACATACATACATACATACATACATACATACATACATACATACATACATACATACATACATACATACATACATATTTAGTAAAATCATCACACAAGGTTAAAAAGTTTCAGCATGTGGTATACGTAGACGGTACAAGTATACATAAAATATACATAGGCAGCGAAAAGTACACATATAATGTACAGTACACGTAGAAAATTTATGTACACAGATCATATACATAACAGGTATATAAACAACGGTTAACAGTGACACAATAATGAGAAACAATATAACTAGGGTATTAAACAGAGGCCTTCTCTTATAACCTAACCCAACCTAACCTAACCTAACCTAACCTAACCTAACCTAACCTAACCTAACCTAACCCAACCCAACCCAACCCAACCTAACCTAACCTAACCTAACCCAACCTAACCTAACCTAACCTAACCTAACCTAACCTAACCTAACCTAACCCAACCTAACCTAACCTACATTCCACCACAATGAAGGAGGAAGGAAGAATGAAATGTCTGTCTGTCTATCTGTCTATTTATTTTCATGGCCATCTTTCTGTCTATCA